CTAAGTGCTTAAGACTGGCACAAGTATGTAAGGTACAGGATTTGCATGATTAATGATCATACACATCATTTGTTTCCTTGACCCCTCCCCTGCCATGGAAGACCATGATAGTCTCCTTCTAACTACCCTGCTTTAGTGGCTCAACCCAGATCAAGGCAACCAGGTGAAGCCACCTGTTGAGACTCTGCCCTTTAGAAGTTATGCGAAAGAGCTGATTTCAGCAGAGGTGATATACTATGCAAGCTCCACCAACTGAAATTTTCTACTGTACTCTTCCTTGGCAGTTGGCCATCCTCCCGGTCCAAAATAGCTCCTCTTTCGAACTTGGTCTATTAGCCTTCATCTACACATGCAGCAGCTGGAGGTTGATGCAGAGCATTAATGCTTATGATGGAAGAATCATCTACATTCAAAAAACACTCTGTCCACATAGCATATTTGCTGACATGAAACTACCCACCTTTCTTGGAAGAGCCAGCTGTGCTAGGGCTTGCAGTGGGGGAGGGAGTGTTTTGTTTTTTCCATAGAAAGCCACGTTCAAAAATGGAACAGCTGGTTTACAGTCTGACAGTCCACCCGATTCCTCAGAATGATACAGTGTGACTACAGTGCATATATTTGCAGTAAAAAGAATATGACAGAATGCCCTTTATGGCCTTAGGATGCACATGAAGAAATGTGTGCATTTGTTCCCCTTTGAATTCTCCTTTGCAAATTCCAGTCTTCATTCCTGGATATCTCCGTCTTGTCTTTGGCAACGATGCAGAAGTGGCTTGCCACTGTCTTTTTCTGGAATGCTTTTACAACTTCCAGTCTAGCCTACAGCTTTGAGATCTTCTGGTATTCCATCAGAGAACTACGAACCAAGCCCTATCCTGCATAGTTTTAGAAATCGGCCAAGGGTCACCTTGATGCTGCCAGATAGCTTGGGTATCATATTTATTTTTTCCCCAATAATTTTATTAAAAGTTTTAGATAGAACAATAAAAGAATACAAGCAAAAAAAAAAAAAAAAGAAAAAAAGGGGGAAAAAAAAAAAAAAAAAAACAAGCAAAAAAAAAAAAAAAAGAAAAAAAGGGGGAAAAAAAAAAAAAAAAAAACAAGCAAAAAAAAAAAAAAAAGAAAAAAAGGGGGAAAAAAAAAAAAAAAAAAACAAGCAAAAAAAAAAAAAAAAGAAAAAAAGGGGGAAAAAAAAAAAAAAAAAAACAAGCAAAAAAAAAAAAAAAAGAAAAAAAGGGGGAAAAAAAAAAAAAAAAAAACAAGCAAAAAAAAAAAAAGGAAAAAAGGGTGTAAGAAAACTAAGCAAAACAAGAAAAAAACCTCCCCCCCCAAAAAAGCGACTTCCCACCCTCATTATGACAAGTATAAACAATTCCATAATCTCTTCATCTCCCCTCATTTGCTAGGGTATCATATTTATGGATATTATTATTTAATGGGAAGAAAGACCATGCCTAAAGTTAGGTAATTGCCACCATCCAAAAATGGCATCCCTGCTAAACTAAAGTATACTCTACCTTTACATGGCAGGATTACATCAGGTTGAATATACTGATTAGGTATTAGGGAGGTACTAAAAGTGGCAATTGGCCCTTTCTTTTTGACGTACTTTTCCCAGAAGAAAGGACTCCTGGAAGGGCTGTGTAGACTTCCTACGAGAGCAGGCAGGAGCTCAGGACAAAGTGCTGGCAGTTATACCAGTGTAGCACCACATGAGCAAACCAGCATAGTCCTAGTGTTCTTCCCATACCCCTGGCAAACTTGTCAGACAACCAACTTGTTGTGTGGCAGCTATTTTTATATCCTGTGCTAGAAATGGCCTATTTCCTCTACTTCTCCCGCCTGACTAAACTGCATCAACGGTTTTCTCTGCTGAGCCTCTCATGCAGTAACTTCCATTTCCCCTTGTTATGGGTGGAGCTATAACCACAGATCTAAGAAAGGAGCCTGATTTCCCTGAGGGAGCCACTGCTGCACAGACAAGGCGGAAGGAGGATGGAGAACGTAGGAAAATAAAATCCATTCTAACATTAAGACACCTTGCTTTAAATGCCATTTGTCGTCTTTTTACCACCTGTTTTGGAGAAGGGAAAAGCTGAGGTGGGCAGGGCACTGATGCTGTGATGTTAGACAAGTGGGCAGGACTAGGACTGGTGGGTGAGGAGGGATTTATATGTTTGTTTGCTTTCCATTTTGAGAAGCTATAAAGCTCTTCATGGCTACGAATCTGGATATCTATGGGACCACCATCTCCAACTGAATTCGGCCTGGACTGTTAGAACATGTAGGGAGGGTCTCCTTGTTGTCTCACACTTCTGGGACGTTGGGGAGCTGAAGCTAGAGGGTGGTGTTTTTCTCTGGCACTGCTGATGCTGTGGAATGGACGCCTTGTTGAGATCAGACCGGACCCCCTCCTAGCAGCTTTTAGGAAGTCATTAAAAACAAAACTTTTCAACAAGCTTTTCAGCAACATTGCCTTTTGTGATTCTTATTTTTTCTCTCATGCTTTTGTTCTTGTTTGCAGTTTGGGTTGTATGTTGTTCTAAATCTTTTGCTGTTGTTTCTGTTGTGAAATTGTTGAAAGTCCCAAGACAGGCAGGACCAAAAGTGAACAAATAAATAAAAATACTATTCAGCTGAACTGCCTTTGCCCACCTCCCCACCACCACCAAAAAGACCTTGGTAGGAAAATGTGCCTTCATTATGTGCCACCCAATTTTGGCAGTGTGTTTCCTGGAAGCCCCAAAGGGGTCACAGAAAGGTGGTTGGGGGCTGCATGTGGTCTGCAGGTCAAAGATGGGCTATCTTGCTGATGAGGCTCTGCTGGTTATTGTGTAGACCACACTGAACACAGATCAATGGTTTCTGTCTGTCTTGTACAATTCCTTTCTACACTGAATATTGTTGAATCTAAGAAGAGGGGAAAAGTACATCATTGGTTCAGCAGGAATGATGTATAAACTGCCTTTGTTAGTGTGCAGGGAAACAATAAGCTAGAGTTAAGATAAATAAGGAGAGGCTTTGATTACCAATAAAAATAATTCAATATGTACAGATTTAAAGGCACTTGTCATATTTTCTACTTCCTCTTTGGAAATCACCTGCATATAAAAAGAAGTACCACTTTCACATCCATATCACTTAGGCCCAACTTTCTGGTGCGAAGGTACTCTCAGAACAGGGAAAATACTCTGAGGGTGACGTGACATTTGCCATCCTTGAACAAAAAGATGTCAAAGGAACACACTAGGATAGAAGGGCCCAACTAGAAATTATGAGCAGGATGAATACATTCATATAGGACCCAGATTGAGATTGTTTGCATTACTGATTCTGCATGGTGTGGGCAATTGGATTAGATGACCTTTGAAGCTCTTCTAACCTTATGCTTCTATACAGTGGATCTATTTACATAGCACTGATTCTCGAAAGGCAGTTCTTAGACTCCTTTTTTTCCTTTCTGAGGGATAATCCTCAAAATAAACTGACTTTGAAACAGAAGTCAGTCCCCTGCTGCTAATAAACTATATTCTATTACAGTATTACAGATATTTGCACACCAGAAAGCCTCAGGCTGGAAAGCATTTCCAGTTAAAGGATCTGCCGAGTAGCAAGACTGCTGCCTGTTGTTTTGCAGATACTATTTGGCTACGTGGGAGGCTTATTGTATATATTTGTGTATGTGTTGAATGTAGGAGAGATGGTTTCCCACTGTGTCTAACCAAAGGACAAGAGAAACCATCAAAAGTGAGTCAGCACTACAGGAGATTAAAAGTTGGGGTCAAAGCCCAAAGGGAAGGCTTAAGCAAGGGGACAAAACCAGAGAGCAATAGGTTAAGAGAGAAACTGTGCTTATATATATCAGAGTGGCATGGAGTGCTTAGAAAACACCAAGTCAGGGCAGCTGGTCTGTCTCATAGGAAGCGGTATGCTAGGGAAAGTTATGTTCTCAAAGAAACCAGGGGCCTAAGGCCTTTTTCCAGCATTAAACTGGAAAGGTACAAAAAAGGCAAGTGAATACTAATTTGGGGGCAAAATTGGTTCCCAACTAAAATCACTTTGGTTTGCCAGACTGATTCTTTGCCTTGCGGTCTTTTTTACTCTGCTGTTTGGATTGGCAAAGTCAGCACAACCTAGTGCCTTCCCCCACCCTTGGCTCCTGTAATATGCAAGCAAGAGCCATGCTGAATCAGTGGGGCACCCAAACAACAGCTCAGCTGCCCTGACCCAGCCTGACTGGTTATTTTGGTCTTCCAGGAAAAAAAAAATGGGGAGGGGGGAAGCAAACCTGACAAAACCTGTAACTTCATTTTAAGTTCACAGGCTTGCTGTTAATTTTTCCAAGGTTGTAAGAAATGTTCTCTCAGTCTTTGCTGCAATCTTGCACGTAAGATAGTCAGGAAGAGTAAAACAAGAACAAAGTTGTCCATCATGCTTCACAGCTGAACAAGAGTTTAAACTAAGCTTTTCCCACTTTCAAGAGATGCCACATCTCTTAAAAAAAGAACAAAGAAGAAAAAGAAAAGACATCTTTCTGTTGCTTTATATTCAGACTGAAGTCCAGCTCACAAAACTTTGGACAGTAGGAAAAACATGGGGTGAGAGAACATAAAAGTTATGACGCAGTCTTGCTGTTACTCCATGGTAAAAGTACATCCTGATTTTTTTTAAAAAAAAATCCTGGAATGATATTGTATCTTCCATGAATATTCAGTTATTGTTGGCTTAATAATAAAATCATAAACATAGGAAAGCCCATTTTGGTATCCATAAACAGGTCAGTTGCAGTATAGATATTTTCCCTTGCAAATGTGCACACGTAACCTTATGGACTAACACTCAGGCTACTGTGCCTGTTTATTGTAACAGTGGTGAGTGATGCAGGACAGAAAAAACGATGAAACAGCCCTGGCTGCATTCTCCAGGCAGCTTCCCCTTTTCCCTGCACTGAACCAGAGAGGCAAGGGAGGGCACTTAGTCAAAGATAGGGAGGGACTCTGCTTTCACTTCCTCATTTGCCCTGTACAGGCTCCAGAGAGGTTTGCTCATCTTGTAGAGTTTCTTTACTGTTTATCAAGAACCAGAAGAAGCTGAAACTAAAGGATGCCGACCTGTTTCCCATCTCTCTTATCTTTCTTTCTGTGACGAGTGGTACTCTGAAAAGGAGCTGTGGTGGATGGGTATAGCAGAGATGGAAGACGGAAGGAGGATGAGCTGCCGGCACATTCATGGCGAAGCAGAAGAGGAGCTCCAGAACTTAGAGTAAGAACAGGAGCTATAATTACAGTAGATTGAGGGTCCTTCCATTCTTGGGAGGGCTCTGGGTAGCTTATGAAAGCTGGCTGACATTATCCAGCTGGCCTTTCCTGATGATCCCTCCCCTATCTTCTTTCTTTAGTGTGAGCTCTGATCCAACATCCAAGGCTGGGGTGTTGAAAGATAGTTGGGAAAATCAGTTTGCTCCCTTCCCTCTTCATCATTAAGCAGGGCAGATACATGTTGCCATGGTAGAAAAACGAGTTCTAAGCCTTAAAGAATGCAGAAGGAAGGGAGAAAACGCTTTATGAAATGACAGAGATTGCTCTGAGGAAGAGAAGAGGTTTGCTAGAGGAATATTTCTTTAACAGGAAAAACCTTTTTGTTGATGTGATAAAACAAGATGCAATGCTCAGTTGCTGAAGCAGTGGTGGGTAACTGATGGATGTGGTGGTTTGGGTTTTTTTTAAGACCTGAGGGCTTCAGTGGGCAAGTTAAACCACATTAGTGGCCTATAGCCTCAATCCCAATTCTTTTTCTGTCTATGTCTCTCTCCCTCACTTTTTCAAGGGGTTGATTTTTTCCTTTTTTTTTTAAGCTATGCCAATCTACGATAGTGTATATCAGTGTTTCTCAATCTTGGCAAGTTTAAGATGTGTGGACTTCAGATCCCGGAATTCCCCAGCCAGCCATGCTGGGGAATTCTGGGAGTTGAAGACCACTCATCTTAAACTTGCCAAGGTTGAGAAACATTGGTGTATACACTACAGGTGTCATGTGTTTTCTGACAAAAGCTGGAGGGAAAACGAGTTATCAGTTTTCAACAGTTGTGGGTGGAGAAGTTAATGAAACTGGAAATAAGGGGCTTGAGGGTCATATAAGCCTTGGAGTTGTCTACTATTACTGTAATGGAATACCTATAATACTATTCTGTTTTTTAAAAGGTGTTACAGCTGCAGCTTATGAAGGGAGGGGAAGTATTCCATAATAGCAAGACATCATTATGTCAGTAGTGATGCCACTGTGTTATGCAATAGGAACCCCTATCACGCACGCAACCATTGATCTCATAGTTCCGCTTTTTTCTCAGTGGCACGATATTGTCATGATATTACTGGAAGAATGTAGTTTTTCTTCGATGAGGGAAATCCTATAGATCCTTCCAGCAGCTGAGTAATACCTGCAAAGTGTTCTTGAAAGTCTAATATGATGACTTTGCCATCAACTTGGTCCCTCGTTCTCTAAACTATGGTTTAAAGATGCAGAATATAAAGCAACCTTCTTTGTAGACTTCTCTTCATACTGTGTAAGCTAGAATAGCAGCCATCAGTTCTCCAAAGCTCTAGGTGTGGGTGCATGCACATGCATGTATGCGTGGATTTTTGCCAATGTGGATGCCTAGAAACTAATATAGTCCACCTCTGCTATATAACCAGGTAGAAAGTAAGTTGAGTGGTGCCACATTATATCTTGAAACTAATAATGAGTTTATAAGAACAATTCTAAAAGATCTGTGGATGAACTTTGGAGATCTTAATTTTTTTTCATTAGGAAAAAGATAGGAAAGGAGGAGGAAAAGAAAAATGACTGGTTTGAGGCTGAATTTATGGTCTGCATGGTCAGAGATTTGAGGTGAGGTGGAGGAAGAATTATGGTTTTAAGTTATTATGCTTTCCTACATGCTGTGTAGGATTCAGGTCATACCTAGGAATCTGGGGACAAACAAGGATGAAAATCTAAAATCCAGCTGAGTTTCAAATTTGTCCGCAACCTTAGGTAAAATGTGTATGTTCCTGGGTAAGCAAAAAACAAAAGTAAAGGAAAACATAGTTTTAATATTAGCAGAAATGGAGGTTAAATTGAGACAATATACTAAGTAAGAAAGTCAAATTGGGTTGCACTAGTTAATTATTTGTGCAACAGTAATCCTAAAAGAGTGAAATTCCCTCTTTAGGTGACTGATACTCATTTTATTCCAAACAAGCATCTGTCACTTCTGAGCAGATAAACTGAGTAGCTAACAAATTAAATTAACTACTTTCCAAATTGCACATAATACAAAGTAAGACATGTTTCTTCATGAGGAAAAACCCTAAAATTCATGGTCAGGCAATCTCTTCATTAGTCTTGATCAAAAATACAAGCAATTTACATCTTGCGAGGCTGAACCCCAGTTTCCATTGGAAAGGTAATGGCCATAGATGTAGTGTTAGCTTTATTAACTTTGGAAATAGATAATATCTTCCTACTCAGAATAGATACTTTAATGGCACTTCTTTAAGCAGGTGGAAATTTCTTTGGCACAGAAGTGGAAACTTAGGTTAGGGTTAAAGATTAAACTGATTTATTATGTCATACATTTTCTTTGTACAGTAAGTGTTTGTGAGTCTAAAATTAAAATCTATTTTGACTTTCAGAGAGCACATAAGAGTTGATTTGTCCCTTTTTGCTATGATGGATTAAAACAGCTATCTTTTGGAATTTGTCTCATTTGGAATGTGTTTTTCCCTAATACCAGCCTTAAGTGGTCAGCAAAAACAAGTTTGACCATTTTTTTGGGCTTTCTTTGAAATGATCTTAGGATAAAAAGCCCTTCCATATGACAATATAAGACCATCTCTAGACCTTCCTGATCTCACCATGTTGACAGTGGTAAAATTCATCTTTGAATTGCTGTAGTTCTGTGAAACTTGTGGTGTCCATGTCCTCATTTCCAGGAACTGTTGCCTCTGGGCTTCTGGGCTTTAGTTGCCCTTTCATAGGTCTTTCCTAGATGAATAGTGGATTGACTGTTTTGAAGCTTCTCCTCATAGAAACCATTTGGACATCTTTTTGCATGCAATCAGAAACATGCATACAACAGTGAGGACATGGGTGGGTGTAAGAGAGTGTGACTGACCCAAAGTCACCTAATCAGCTTTTGAGGCAGAGAGTGGACGTGAACTTGGGTCATGTGCCAGTCCAACACACTGATTCTCATTTAACATTTCCATTCATTAATATGTGCCTTTGCAGTCTCTATGTATGTAAGTACATTGGATTAGATGTCAAATAGTTGCTATACGTGGAGTGCCTCAGCTCCACCTCCCGAATTCCATAAAAGTGCCTATCTACTTTCTGCAGGACATCTATTTCTGTGGAGGACGCTAGCTGATGGCTAATGACCTTGGTGAGACTAACCTATCATAATACAGGTAGTCCTTGTTTAGTGGCTGCCTCATTTAGCAACTGCAGTTACAATGGTGATGAAAAATAACTTTGCGACCAATCCTTGCATTACGACCTTCACAGGTCTGTAAAGCAAAGGAAAGCTGAAGTAAAATGGGAAGCCCAGTTGCAATTTCATTTAGTGACCGCTTTGCTTAATGACCAAGTTGCTAAAGTAAAATAGGAAGCACAGTTGCAATTTCACTTAGTGAGTGCTTTGTGTAATGACCAAGTTGCGGGTCCCAATGTTGATTGCCAAACAAGGACTAGCTGTAGTGTAAATACAATGTAGATTGGGGTTATCCAAAGCATTTAAAGGGGTTCTTTGAAAAGCACGTTAGCACGTGCAAGACAATGCAGTTGAAAGCACTGAGGAAACTTAGTCCTCTTGAAGGCTCACCACAAGTTCTTTGAGGGCTTTCTCTTTTTCTTTTTATTAAGAGTTTTAGATGAGGGCTTTTCCCAGATTGTCTGCTCATGTGATTGAGCATGGATAGAGAACATTCCTGGTGGGACTGTTGGTGAGCTGCAGTGACTGCGTATGCAGATGATCTGGGAAAGACTTTAAAGTAACCAAGCCTTATAGAAGAATGCGCTTTTGGATGTTTTGCACAGACCTTCCATCTTCTTGGCCTCCGTGACTTAAGTATAGAACAGCACAGATTTCTCAAGAAGGGCCTGTTTTACCCAGCTGGTTTCAGAGGAGAAATGAGCTAAAGAGGAATTTTCTAAGAAATCTCAGTAACTTTCTAATAAAGCAGCAATGAGAAGTAATCTTTCCGTTGTGACCAATGGCATGAATTTTATTTGTTTGTTCTTTGCTGACCCAGAAAACCAGATCTTTTGAGGACAGCTTGCACTGCATTAAAATCAACACGTGTAATCTTGAACAATTAAAATATACAATATTTAAAATATACAGCAAGCAACAGTAAAAAGCAGAAGTCTGAATAATTCAGTACAAATATATTTAATATTAATTTATTTAAATGCCTTGGGAAGGAAAAAACATCAATCCTTTGCTCTCAGTGAAATATTAAATTAAAAACTGAATAATCTTTGTCCTTTACTAGTTACTTACCCATCTGAATTAGGCTGCCTATTAGTCACAAAATATGTTCAAAGTGGTCACCAAGTTGAAAAAAGCTAAAAGGCATTTCCAAATCTGGACAAACTCTCTGATTCCAGTTTTTAAATTAATTGTTAATCCATGAGAGCCCTTATCCTCTTATTCCACAACAGCTGAGTTAGGTCTATGACACAAGAGTTTATCAATTTTTTTTTTTAAAGTCCCAGGATACAGAGTCACTCTAGTCTTTGTTAACACTCTCCAAAAAAACCTAGGTTAGTGAAACAAGACTTACCTTTGCAGAAGTCATGTTGGTTCTTTATCTGCGAGGTTTGTTTTTCCAATGCATTGGCTATTCCTTAAATATTCCAGTACTGAAATGCATGCAAGAACTTAATTTAGAATAATTAACTTGCTTGATCAGACAAAAGCTCATATCGAGAAGCTAGTAGAAGTGAGACAGATACACTGAATGCTTATACAGTAATACTGAACTGATGGTCGTCACCTTCAGCCTTCAAAGGTATACTGCCTCTGTATAAGTAAGCCTTATGTACTGTCAGCAATTATTACATGTGCCCTTTGATTTGCTAAACAACATAAAGTGCCTTTACAGCAAGTCTGTCTTCCCATATCAAGGCCACTTTTCTATTCAGTTTTTTAAAACAGATGATATCTCATGTCTTGAATGACAAGAAACTAACCTTCAGTGGTTGAAATCAATGTATTT